ATGGAGTGGCTTCACAGGGCCCTCCCCGCGGGTGCCAGGCCCCACTGAGACGCATGGTTGCGAAGGCTCCAGGCTTTGTATTAGGAGCCAAGTCTACATTTTGGCTGCACACGTGTTAGCGGCCTGAACAGATACCCCTTTGCCTGTGTGCCCTGCTGCCACCGTCACAGCGACGGCCCCCGCAGCCTGGGTCTCTGTGTGCACAGTTTGAAGGCAGCCGCAGTGCACAGGAGATCCAGAAGTTCTGGCAGAACTGGGAACACCCGAGCATCAACAAGCAGGAGTGGAGCGGGCAGGAAGTGAGCCAGCTGAAGGCCATCGCAGCCAAGCACGGCCACCTGGAGTGGCAGAAGACCGCCGAGGAGCTGGGGGTAAGGACCGGGGCTTCTGAGACCCGAGGGCAGCGCTGGTTCTACAGCTGGGAGGCCAGCCAGGTTTGGGGTCTTCAGGGGCTGCGTCACACCACAGCCCCAGCTGTCTCGGCCCTCGCGTGTCTTCATCTCGCGGCTTTCAGGGGGGTGGCGCTCAGGGAGCATGACCCCTCCACACCTCCCTGGGCTGAGTCTACAGGAGCTTCGAGCTCCTGACACCCTGCTGCCTCTTTGGGAGCTCACTTGCCATCCACATACGTCCTGAAGGCCTCGCGCCAGTCACCAGTCTCAGCTGCATCAGCTATTCCCGCCCTTCTCCCCATCTTTATCTCTGGCCCCATCAAGCTCAGAGGAGTTGATTTTGGTTGTGGTGATGAAAAACACTTTTCTGAGTTTCTTTTGGGTTCTTTCATTGTTTTTCTCATATTTAAGGTGAGGACTAAGCTCTTCGCTTGGTCTCCATCTCTCATAACGAGAGCATTTAAGGTTGTTTTTCTGACAGCAGCTTGGCGTGAGACAGTCTCCTGATAAATTTCTAGCGTGTATGCTGTCAAAATGAGCACTGAATTTCTACAGTGGCTGTAATTTCAGTTTTCATTGCATCTTTGTGCCTTAGTTTATGTAGGAATATGTTTCTTCATTTTTTTTTAAAGATTTTATTGGGGAATTGGGGGAGGGGAATAGGCAAGTTGCTGTCCTTTTGTTCTTCAGTCTAGTTGTGGAGGATGTTGCTTCACTGGTCCAAGTTGGTATTGTGATCATTGCGCTCTTCCCGGGCGAGGCAGTTGCTCGCCTGCCATTGGACGGCCACTCACGGCAGCTCATGAAAGCTCACGCCTGCTTCCGGCCAGCCCCACTGCAGCCTACACCGTCGCTGACAACTCATGGCAGCCCAGCTCCAGGTCAAGCGGTTGTTCACCATCTTAGCTGTAGAGGGCGCAGCGTCACTGGCCCTCATGTGGGATCCGAACTGGGGCCCTGCTGCTCAGAGCTGGCGTCCCAAGCCAACTCCTAACCAACGTGCCCCTCGGCCGGCCCTGTTTTCTCATTTTTAAGTAGTCAGGTTTCTTGGATTCCTTTTGGTCATTCTTCAGTTTGAATTTTATTGGCTCGTGACCTGAGAACGTGATCTGTAAAATCCCCATTTCTTAATTTATTACTTTAATGGCCAAGCATGTGATTGCAGCAAACCAAACTAAACTTACCAAAGCCATTTAGAAACAAAAGTGTATTCTCTGCTCTGAGGGTCTAGAAGTTCAGTGAAGCCCGTGAAACGTTTGTCTGTTACATTACTGAATTTTGCTCCTGAGAACGGTTTAGTTCTCAGAGATGTATTGATGTAACTTGGGTAAAACCTGACACGACAATGTGGCAAAGGCATTTTCTCCTTGTATCTCTAATGTAATGGTTTGCTCTGTATCTTTAGCTGCTATGTAGTTTCGTCCATATAACTTTATGCTTTTATTTAATTGGTGGATTATGCCTGTAAAGAAAGTCATTTTTGTGTCTTTATTTTAGTTTTGTTTTTAAAGATTTAATTTTTTTTAGAGCAGTTTTAGGTTGACAACACAATTGAGAGGGAGGTACGGGGATTTCTGTGCACCTCTTGCCTCCCGTATATATACAGCCATCCCGTTATCAACATCACTTACCAGGTGGTGTTTGGGTTTTTTTGTTTGTTTGTTTGTTTTTTAGCAAGGATGGACCTACATTGACATGTCATGATCACCCCGAGTCCACAGCTGACGTCAAGGCTTGCTCTTGGTGGTGTATATTCTGTGGGTTTCGACAGATGTGTAATGACATGTAGCTGTCACTGTGATGTCACATTGAGTAGTTCCACCGCCCTAACACCCCCTGTGCTCTACCTGTTCTTCCCACCATCACCCCGATCCCTTTTTTTTTTATTTTTTGGGAAGAGCAAAAAGTTTTATTAAAGGTTGGGCAAAGAGAATGTCCATGGCAGTGTTTAAAGATGACAGCTGCCGTGGGTGGTAAGGAAGAAGTGTGCCTTCCCCCCACTTGCCCCTCCAGCCGTCTGACACACCCCTGTCTCATAGTTGTGCCATGTCCAGAATGTCACACAGCTGGGATCACACCGCATGTAGGCTTCTCAGACCGGCTTTGTTCTCTCAGTGATTTGCACCTAAGCTTCCTCCAGGTCTTTTGATGGTGTGACAGCTCATGTGTTTTTAGCTGAGTAATATTTCACTGTCCGGATGGACCGCAGTCTATCCATCCTGGAGGACGTCTTGGTGGCTTCCGAGATTTGTCAGTTATGACAAGAGCTGCTGTGAGCATCCATGTGCAGGTTTTTGTGTGGACGTACGTTTTCAACTCTGTTGGGTAAATACCAAGGAGCGTGATTGCTGGAGTACACCGTAAAAGTATCCCCTGAGCGTCTCCCCCAGTGGCTGCTCCACTGGCATCCCTACCAGCTGTGAATGGAGTTCCTGGGTCCACATGCTCCCAGCGCTGGGTGTGGTCGGTGTTGGGATTCTGGCCCTTCTGAGAGGCCTGGAGTGGTGTCTTGATTTAATTTGCATTTCCCTGGCTACCTGAGGTGGAGCTTCTCATATGCTGATTTGCCTTCTGTGTATCTTCTTTGACGAGGTGTCTATGAAGGTCTTCGGTCCATGTTTTGCATACCAGATTGTTTCTTATTGTTGAGCATTAGTTGTTTGTACCTTTTGGATGTCTGTCCTTTATCAGATGTGTCTTTGGCAAGTATTTTCTCCCAGCCCGCAGCTTGTCTGATTCTCTTAACACTCTCTCGCAGAGCAGAAGTTGGCAATTTTAGTGAAGTCGAGCCTATCAGTTATTTCTCTCATGGATTGCGCTTTTGGGTTCTAAGAAAGAAGCACCATCACAGCGGGGCACCCTGCCCACACCCCGCCACACATGCACCCCTGGGCTGCCCTGTGGGCTTCAGAGACACCCCCTTANGAGGAGAAGGGGTCCTGGGTCCATGCTGGGCCCTTCAGGTGAGCTTACGTGGGTCCATCCGCATCGTGATACTGTCTTCTCTGACAGGGGCCACCTGCCAATGAAGACACGCGGGAGAAGGCTGCCCAGGGCATCAAGGCTTTTGAGGATCTTCTGGTGACCAAATGTAAGAAGAGCCCAGGCCCAGCCCTGAGAGCCCGCTGAGCTCGGGCACCGCGGAGGCCTTCCCCACACCCTACCTCTCCCCACGCGTATGCCGTGGTTCCGACAGCTCTTTCCTGGGGCTTCGTGGGCTCCTTCAGGCTTTGACCATGGGACTGACCACTCGAAGCCCCTGCCTTTCCCGAGCTGAGCGAGGTCGGGACCACCCCCTCCAGGGCTCACTGTCCAGCCTCTGAACGCACAGCTGTGCCAGGCCCAGGTGGAGCTGTGCTTGCTGGACCGAGGCCCAGCGCCTGCGGCCTGGCCCCCTGCTGGGCTCGTCCCCGCGACGGCAGCACAGACCCCCTTCCTCACTGTGCGTCTCCGGGACAGACTGCTTCCCCTCTGTTTCCTCTGACTTTCCACGGAAGTCAGAACTAACGATGTGTCAGGGTGGTTAGAGGACCCCACAAAAGAGCGTGCGTATCGGAGGGCGTGGGTGTGAGCCGCGCGGCGCTTGGTTCCTCCTCAGGGAAGCACTGGGAGAAGGCTCTGCTCCGGAAGTCAGTGGTCAGCGACCGCCTGCAGCGTCTGCTTCAG